TTAGGAGACGAATCACAATTAGCAGTGGTTACAGTTGCTTGATATACAATGTTACTTGTTAAACATTGAACAATGGACAGAGATTTTTATTATAACAGTTACAGTTTTGTTGATTAGAGTTTGTATCGTTGCATAAAATGTACTTGTTGTGCGAACTTATAATAGATTTGACACTTGGCATACAACAGAATGTGGTATTTGTTTTAGTATACTTGACAGGCGATTTGAATCAGCATGGATGTAATTTAATGTATTATCAGGTTTGAAAGGTTTAAAAGTTTCAAACTAAGATTTAGAGTTACGTTGACAATTTTTATGTTGCATTGTATAGAAATCTGTAAGCCATTGCACTTAAATATTTTGACAGTATGCTTTTTTATTTTTTCCAATTGAGGGCTGCTTTTATTACTGAAAACTCTCAAGCCATCATCACAGTATAAACTAACCTCAAACTTGTTATAAAGTTTTAAATTTGAAAAAAAAAATACTCCTACCAGCTCACAAAACTCTGTGCCGCCAAATGCTCCCATGGAAACCGCTTGATTGCTTTATCCAAACTTGATCATTATTAAAAAGCAAAGACTTTCTTGCATGAAAAATGATATGTTCTCTTTATTTAATGTTAGGTGTTGCCCTGCAAAATTGATAGAGTTTTTTAGAAGTGTTTCACTGATAGAAGGGAAGAAGTCAATAATATCAAAAACCAAAAATTTATAAAGGTGTTTATCTTTTATGGCCTTAAATTAATCGCTAACATTTCGAGTATTTTTCCATTGATTTAATTGTAATATATTTCTTAGGTCTGTAATAATTTTAGAAAGAATACCTTTACTAATTCTACCAACCTCATTTTTATCAGGATTCAATAAACAGATAGTGGGAATGTTTTCAAAATTATCTTTATGGTCTTTTAAGGTGATAAAGGAATTGGGAACTGTATTAATGTCAATTTTATTTAAAACTTCATGATTTTTCAAAAGACCTTCTAAATTAACTTTATTTATTTTGTTTGAGATGACTTTATTTATTATGTTTGATAATTTGTAGCTTGAAATGATGGCATTTCTTAACACATGGTTGTAATTATTTTTAGATAAATTGTAAAGATTGGATGTTTTATCAGCATACATATAAGTTAGATTAGACTTTCGAATATTGTTTATATCTTGTTTTAATTTATTTTGAAAACTGCTGTGTACCTTTTGAAACTTAATGTGTTTTACAAGATCAATGAGTTCATTCTTGAAAGCTAGCATCTCTGTAATTTGTTTTGGATGATAAGATGTTTTTAATTCGTAGTTATAATAAAAATTATTCTTACTATTTGAGCTCTTGTTTATAAAGAAAAATGCTTTCCACTGCATTCTTCTAATTAATGTCTCAGTTTTATCCAATAGTTTTATTTTGAAGTTTTTAATAGATGGTATCGGAATGTTCTTGACTGAATATCTATCTATCTATCTATTTATCTATCTATCTATCTATCTATCTATCTATCTATCTATCTATCTATCTATCTATCTATATATATATATATATATATATATATATATATATATATATATATATATATATATATATATATATATATATATATATATATATATATATATATATATATATATATATATATATATATATATAAAATATAAACAAAAAGATTGTATCAAATCGTTAAGTCAAGATTCAGCTCAGATTCAACCAAAAATTTAACAATACAAGCTCTAATGCCAGAAGAGAAATATAATATTAACCGCAACATCACATTTTTCCAAAAATAAACACAATAATGTTTATATAGACCTGATTGAACAATGGTGGAACAAACTAAGTTTAATAAGCTAAACATTGAAAAGTAAATAGAAAACAGTAACGTTAAAAAGCATGGCGATCTTGATGACCTATTTCAATTTATCATCTGTAGTAACAGGGTCTGCTGCATTGATGTATCGAAGACCCTTGGAATCAATGGCTGTACAATTCACCCATTTGTTGAATGGCAAAAAGTCCATATTGCATGCTCAAAATCAATCAACACACAAAAATATCAATAGTACTATAAAACCATCTACCTCAGCTCAATACAGTTTAAAAAAGCCATCAATTACTTCTATATGCCAAATAATCAATTCAAATCATTTATACTACACAAATGCTTGTTCACTAAAAAATAAATTGAAGCCCCAACAGACACTTTTTTAAAGTTAATATCAACAGTTCAATGCACTTGAATGGCTAAATATTATACTGCAGTGACAGGGAAGGTGTTACAATCTATGTAAATGACAAAATAAAATCATTTAAAGTTAATATGCATCAATTAAACTGTAAAGCTGTTGAGCAAATATGGTTTACAGTAAGATTAGATAAAGAGATAACTTTGCTTGGGTGTATTTATAGATCTCTTCCTAAACAAAAAGATGATTGTATTACACACTTTAATCTTGAACAAACATTATTAGCATCATTATTTTTAGTGTCAGATGCAGTCCACAATAAAATGTTTAATGGTATGTGCTTAGCTGTGAATGTTTAATGGTATGTTAAGATTTTTCAATTTTAACAAGTTTCCATTGAATAAAGGTGCAGCATACACCTGTAGGCTCCACTTTATCAGATCATTGATTTGTGCATAATCTCGAAAACCATAATATTTTTCAAGCAATTATTTTCCATCATTCTGCAACTCAAGCAGCAAATATAAAAGTTTTTTAGATTTAAAACTGAGCAAATAATCAAATTGCTTAAACAACATTGAGCCTCCACCTCCATTTTGCAATATCTCCAACCAATAACACCTATCTATTAAATGGCATCCAGCTACCGCCACTACTATAACAAGACCTTTTTTTGTGCGGTTGAACTTTTTTATATCTCAATATAAAAAGTTGACTAAAATGAATTGCTTACTTCAAAGACCACAACACTATGTTACAAAATTTTTCTCATTGAGTATAATTATTCAATAAATGGATACCTCATAGAAAGAATGCATGCAACATTTCTTCATGCAGCAGCTTTGTTTGTCAAGGTTCGTGTTTCCAAGTTTTAGAGTTGAGAGAGGGTTTAACCACAACTAAAGTAGCCTCTTCAACTATAGATGCCTATTAATTAAAAAAAATAAATAAATAAACTAATTTGCAAAATTCAACAACCCTGGATGAACAATCAGCTACACATTCTTATTGCAAATAAGAAACATTTATGGATTTTAGTCCAGCAAACCAGATCCTGAATTGTACCAGTTCTCAAAAAATGAGCAGGTTTGCAATCTAATTAAAAAGTGCATAAAAGAATGCATTAGAAACTATGAAAATACAATAGTTTATAACAGTTTCAAGAAACGGATATATAGCTACGTAAAATCGAAGCAAAAAATAAGAAAGCAAATCAATGCTATGCAGGATTCAAATGGCAATATTAATACTTTAGATCCAGAGATAAATATCATTTAAAATTCATATTTCAAATCTGTTTTTGATAATGAAGATCTCATTTTTCCAATGTCGGAATTTAAGAATCAAACCACCAGTTTAGTTTCTAGATTTATTTGGAATAAGTCCTGTATCACCAACCTTTTGGAATCCATGAATGTTATTTCTTTATCTTTGGCATATAAAAAATGTATCAATATAATTCTACTCCACTTTGCCAAGGCATTTGACTCTATGCCACATCAACATCTTATGCACTAACTAAATTATTTTGTATCACTAAAAAATAGCTGAATTTTTTTTTTTAATCTTCACTTCAAGCAAGGCTGCAAACAACCACTGTTAGAGATGGAAGTTACTGGAAAAGAAAAAATGAAATTTATAGAGTAAGATAACGAATAACAGAAGACTTAAAATGTTGCAAATTATATGAATCAGG